GAAGGGAAGGGAAGGGAAGGAAAAGAAAAGAAAAGAAAAGAAAAGAAAAGAAAAGAAAAGAAAAGAAAAGAAAAGAAAAGAAAAATGACCAGAGAAAAGGGATGCGAACATGTCCCAAGCCCCCATCCCTAACCCAGAAGCTATCTCCAATTGATAAGCACTTGCAAAGAAAAATTAGTTTTTTCCAGCAGAGTCTCACTGGGTCTACAGACCACTCTCAAGGGCAGGCTGAATGCCCAGCAGTTGATGGTCAACACAAAACAAACTCGGTGGTATTGGAGAGGTTTTGTCTTAAAGCTTTGTCTGGGTTTTTTTTTTTCCTTTTAAATTTTTTTTAACCTTGCAGGTCTTTTGATTGTATATCATGGTTTCTGGTTTTGTGTTTTTATAGGACTTCTGTGTGTGTACCTGTGCGTGCGTGCGTGCGTGCGTGCGTGCGTGCGTGCGTGCGTGCGTGCGTGTGTCCCCTGTAGCTCTGCGGTATTCTCCTGCAGGGTATTCATGTCTGCATTTCAATTCCATTTTCAAGGATATGAAGTGGATCGAAGAGAAGCAAGCGCTGTATCGAAGGAATCAAGAGCTTGTAGAAAAGGTATGCCCCGCCTCCCAGGTGTGGATGCATCTGGCAAGATGCCTTTGCGCTCGTGGAGTATGTGGTCGACTTTGTGGGCTGGTGATAGACTTGGGCATGAGTTTGAGGACTTTCTGTGGTTCACTGTGTGGCAGCCCAAGGCAGCCCACTTCCTGGAAGAGGAAACCAGGACTGCTTCTTCCAGGTCCAACAGAGCTGTGTCTGCAGCCGTTGTGGTGATTCTGTTGTGCTGATGGGTAAGGACGGCTGGAGAAATCACTGGAACCATCCTGGTCAGAAGCCATGTGGCTCAGAGAACTTCTAGCAATGTCCACCATGAGACTGAATGTCCTCAGAGTAGAGTCCCCAGGTGAAGCTGGACTTTTGTTCCTGACTGTGAAACTCCAGCAGGGCATTTCCTAGTCGTACCTTCAGCTATGGGCTCTCTTGGTCGTCTCTACTAACAAAAAATTTTCCAGTTTCAAATAAAAAAAAAAAAAAAAAAAAAAAAAAAAAAAAAAAAAAAAAAAAAAAAAAGTCAACTCCATTTCCCTGGCTGTGGCTTAATTGGCTGTAATATTTTATCTAATTAGAACAGGTCAGAAAACATGTAATAAGAGCCATTATGCCAGGTGGTGGTGGCGCACACCTTTAATCTCAGCACTGGGGAGGCAGAGCCAGGCAGATCTCTGTGAGTTCAAGGCCAGCCTGGGCTACCAAGTGAGTTCCAGGAAAGGCGCAAAGTTAAACAGAGAAACCCTGTCTCAAAAAACCAAAAAAAAAAATACAAAAAAAAAAAAAAAAAAAAAAAAAAAAAAGAGCCATTATTAGAGCCTTAGCGGCTGCCTGATGTCAACACACCTTCCCCAAGGTGGGCCTAGACAGGAGAGGTGTGACTTACACTTGTGGTACACACTAACACTCATGCACACCCACAGTTGTGGGCACACTCGAATGCTCAGGTCCATTTAAAAAATCTGTGCTCTCCAGGGAAGTGAAGAGATGACAGGAAAGAGCTTCCTGAGCAAGCAGGAGGACCCGAGTTCGGATCCAGCAATCATGTAAACCTGGGTGGAACAGTGTATGTCTGTATTTTCAGCACTGAGAGGGCCTCTGAGCCTTGATGGCCAGCTGAATCAGTGAATTCTAAATTTAAAGCTCTGTCTTAGAAAAAAAAAAGCAGAGAGAGGTTGAAGGAGATGCTCTGTGTTGACATCTGGCATCCACATGTACACACGTAGATGTGCCTATCAAACACAGGTAGGAGCACATATGTGCATACATGCGTATGCCTGTGCTCTCCTCTGAATGTGATGAGCACAGAGTCACAAGGTGGCCCTGCAGGTGCTTTAAAGCTGCCAGGTGCTCAGTACGAGAACTAGCACTGTGGAAGGATCTAGCACAGAGTGAATCGGCTCACTTACAGGATGTCCTCCTTGCTGGCCTCCTGAATAACACAACAGGCTTACGGGTCTCCAAGTTCAGTGCTGGGAGAGATGGCCCTAGCTGCCTCCTCCACAGTGGACCTCCTGTCTTCATGGAGCTGCTGAGGATGTGAACCATGGGTGGCAGACACTGTGTACCTTTGGTTTTGTTTGTAGTGACAGTGATCAAACCCAGAGCCTTGTGCATGCCAGGCATGTGCCCTGCCGGTTAACACTGAGTTCCATACCAGCCCTTGTGTGTTCACTCTCAGGAAGACAGGACCCCACATCAAGTTCACTCATTACTAGTGCTGTTTAAACACACCTGAATTATCCGCATCAAATCTAGAATGTGACCAGGCAACCACACCCCCACCCATTCCTCCCCTGGGCCGTGGACCAGCCTGAGCTCCAGGAACGGCGCAGGGGGCAACTTGTCCTCAATAGCTTCCTGCCTTCTCCATCTGTGGGGAGCAGTTCTCTGAGCAACCCTGTGGTCCTGGGCAAGTGCCCTGTTCTCACAAAAGCAAGCAGCTGTCCAGAAAGCCGGTCTATGCGTTCTCTGAAAGAATCAGATGCCTTCTCTCCTCCCCAACTTCCTATCCTTCAGATAAAACAAATGGAGACGGAGGAGGCCCGGCTGAAACACGAGGTCCAGGATGCAAAGGACCAGAATGAGCTGCTGGAATTCAGGATCCTGGAGCTTGAGGTAGGGTAGGCTATGGGGGTGAGGGGCACACGAGCTGGTGGCGTGAGCTGGGATCCTCTTCTCAAACCTCTCAGCTCTTGTGATGAATAAAAACCCAAAGGCCATATATGAAAGAAAAGAGGCCAGGTGGGGTCCACTGTATACCTCCCAGGAGGGTGGGGCAGATGTGTAGAGTGCGGTCACTTGGGGTAGGGGTGAGGGGTGGGCAGGCAAGAAACCAGCATTGTAAAGGAAAGGAAAGCAAACTAAGGCCTAGGACTGCTTTCAGACCTGTGACCTCAGCAAAGCACCATGGCTGCAGCTGTACTGAGGTGACCAGAGGCAGGGACAATGCCCAGGCTCTGGTGCAGCCCAGCAGACATTCGTTCTTGTTTGGAGAAGCCTCTTGGTGGGAAGAGGTACTATACAGTGGTCAGGTGCCCTTCAACTTTGCCCTGTTGTCCCTGGCCTGTGCCCTCTGTTATGACCTACAGAGGAGGAGAGGCAAAGATCCCTGGATTCGAGGGGGTGGGTCATGTCACTGTGCCACCTTTCACTGTGAGGATAGATGGGCAGTATTTCTCACTAAGACTAGAGGAAGTTATTACACGATATATCCTTAATGGACATTCCCACACAGCCCTGAGTCTTCCATCTCAGTTCAGGGGGCAGCAAGCCTGTTGGACACTGAGTCCAGATGGACCCCCTGCTCAGAGTCCTCCCATCCACCTCCCTGGGCACTGGAGGGCTATGAAGCTGACTGGCTGTCCTCTTTGAGTCCTGGGCTCCTGTGTGCATCCTCTTTGTAAGGGCTATGAACCCCATCCATGGTCATTTTGCCAGTCCCATGAATGACTCTACCTGAGCTCTATCCTCTAAGCCTCTTCACAGCCCCTGGGACTTGGGGATGAATGAGCAAGTGAACCCTGGGATGAGTCCCAGTAGGCCACATGGCCAGGGCTCCATAGAGACAGCATCCTACTATCTGGGGCAGCAAACACACAGGACCAATCTTCTGGACAAGTCCATGAAGGTTTCTCCACTAGAGCTGAGTTTGGGAAACATCACCTTGACTCCCCAGTGGGTGGCCTTGGCCAGTGTTCTGGCATCAGCTCAGCACCCAGGAGGGAGGAGATAGGGTGAGAACAGCTCTGTTCCTGCCCCACCCAGCCTTCTTCTCTTTGTCTCAGGAGAGAGAGAGGAAGTCACCTGCCATCAACTTCCACCACACGCCTTTTGTGGATGGGAAGAGCCCCCTGCAGGTGTACTGTGAGGCCGAGGGTGTAACGGTAAGACTCCCCTCCCTTCACCTTGCATGGCCCACCAAGCTGCCTGCCGCTCACATGTCGCCCTGTCCCTCTGTCTGCCTCCTAGGACATCCTGGTCACGGAGCTGATGAAGAAGCTAGATATCCTGGGGGATAACGCCGTAAGTGTATGTTGCTCTCCTGACTTGTGCATGCCTCTCCACGCTGACCACCCCAGCCCAGCCCTCAGGCCCAGGGGCCCCTGAAGCTCACCCCAGGCCCATCATAGGCTACCCTGAACAAAAACCCTTCCTGAGGGGAAGAGCCTGCTTAGAACGGCCCCTTGCATTGGGAAAAGTCGGATCCTGGCTCATTGTGACTATACCCTTTGGGCCCAGTCTCCAGGTTCTTGCCACTTCCGGTCTCGGTCCCTTAGTGCCTGGACCCTCTTTGGATCATAGCTCTTCTGTGAGCACCGGGTATTGGTCCGGGGGAGTGTTGCTCATAGGCAACCCAGGATCATTGGGGTTCTCAGTTCTTCGATTTGAGGGTGGAAGCAGAGTCCATAGGTAATCTCCAAATCTCATTGGGAGAAAAGTTCCAATTTCTGCAACAAACTTCTCATAAGACTACTAATTATCAAGTGAACAGAGTAAATGCAAGCCTCCACTACACCTCCTATCCATCCTTCAATCCTCTGTGTCATCCTCTGTCCACATTCTACACATGCACACATACATCTTCCACTCCCTCATCCATCTTCTCTCCAGCCACCCTGTGTAGCCATCTCCCCAACAGTTCCTTGTCCATCAATCTATCCTTTCAACCATCTTCTGTACACCATACCCTGCCCATCCACCTTTTATATATCCCCATGCATCCATCCTTCTATCCATTTATCATCTATCATCTTAATCCCTTCTGTCCATCCATCCTCCATCAGTCCTTCTCTACCTCCCTGCACCTTCCCCTCTTCCCTCTGTTCACCCATCCTGCATCCACTTACCTATCTATTCTCCATGCATTATCACATATTTGTTGACATATCCCGTCCCCCCGCCGTTGATAGGAGCCTTTATCTTTATCCTTTCATTTCTTGGGAAGCAGAGATGAGCAGAGCAGGGAGAAGCACCTCCAGGGAGTTCCCTGATGGCCATGTCCACCCCTTAACCTCTCTTGATAGTTCCTTTATAGCAAAGATGGTGAAGTCCCATCCAACCATCAGGGATAGCTGTGGTGCATTGTGCCCTGGGGTCTAGCCTTAGGTGTAGGTTCTGTCATGGATTCTAACTTCTGGTTTACAGCTAGAGTAATTGAAGCCTCAGAGGTTTGCAGAGATGATTTAATGTCAGTTACGGTGATGGACCCAGCCAGTTCTGTGTCCGGGTTCTTCCTTAACCCAGTAGCTTCTCACTTGAAAATACCACTAGCTTGATCGCCCCAGGATCATCATAGAGCCTCTGAGGTCACTGTCACAGACCACCAGGGCAGAGAAGGGTGACAATTGGAGGAATATGGCCAGGTCTGACATGTAGAGACCCTGGCAGTTCCTGCCAATGGACCAAGTTCTAACTGTTATTGTCACAATCCAGTAATGTACTGTGAGAAGCCTGAGCTTGTGAGTTCTGTCTGGAAGCACTCAGTGGCCCTGCTGGTGAGGAACCAAGTGACTGTCACCTTCATAGTTAGGGGACATGAGTGCCATGGCTGCCGTCACCAGACATGCACATTTCCTACCTGCCTCAGGTTCACCAGGAGCCAGGGCACCGGGGGCAGAGCAGAGAAACCAGTGGGGCCAGGACAGAAGCCCACCCTTCACTGCGGGTGGTGCAGCTCCAGCCATTGCAGTAATCTTGCTGTCAGCTGGACAAGAGAGGGCTGTAGACTAATCGAGTAGTGTTCCGACAAAGCAGGGCATTAGAGCATGACCTCCAGGGGTCAGAGGGTCAGACCGCATACCCCAAAATGGCACCAAGAGCACTTCAACCTGCTTTGGTCCATCCAAGTAGATCCCTTCAATCACCTTGAAGCTGCTCTGTTCAACCTCCCCAACGTTCATCGTCCTACCCAGCAGACAAAGCTGTGGCCGCACAGCTCTGCTCTTAGGGGGAAGGAGCTTCTAGAAGCCTCTGAGGCTCCTAGAACAGGAGGAATGAAGAGGAGTAGGAGGGATGAGGAGAAGTGAGGAAGAATGAGGAATGGTAGAGATGAGGAGTCATGTGAGGGAGAAGAGTAGGGTAGAGGAATAAAGAACACTGATGCCCAGCACTGGTAGACAAGGCTCCCACTGTGCCCATCCCAGGCAGTGCAGCCATCTGCCTCCCTGCCTGCCAGAGCAATCACTTGTGAGGAACCCCTTCTGACTCGAAGATTGAAAAAAAGAAGGCGGTACCTGCCTTCAGGGAGCTCACCTTCTAGAGAGGAAGACCTGGTTTCTTGTGTGACTCAGTCATGGAAGTTCTAGGGGTGGAGGGCAGCTCCTGTTCCAGCCTTAGCTGCCCTTCCCTCCTGCTCCTCTTGGTGCATCTCACATGGGGCCTGGGCAGCCAGATGCGATGTAGATGGCCGCTTTACTCTGAGTGTGTGGTTGGCCACATCCAGACAGGGCCCCATTTGTCCCTAAAGTCAGACAAATCCTGCTCATAAGGACCACCTGGAGGACCCTGGGGGAAAACATGAATGCAGAAAAAGGCAAAAGCAAACACACACATACAGAAACTGGGAGCATTCACAGCCACGGATACTTGGTTTTCACCATGGCTGCATGTGCATGATGCTGGCTTCGGCAACAATCGGGACAGGGCAGGCCAGAGGAACACTCGCCAGCTGGTTAAGCTGCCCCGGCTGGTTCATTGAGACTTTGGCTGTTCTGACAGTGAGAAGGTGATGTGGCTAGTACCCCAGAGTGGACAAGGTGGGGGTAAAGAGCATCAGAGATGCAGAAGGATGATTGAGTAAAAGTGCCGTTTAGCTACTGCCCCAGCCCCATGTCCATTCATCACCCCCACTCACCCCACACCTACCTCTGACACTGACGGTGTTCTGCTTTTGCACACAGAATCTGACCAATGAGGAGCAAGTGGTTGTCATTCAAGCCAGGACAGTCCTGACCTTGGCAGAAAAGGTAACAGAGATTCTGTGGATGTCTGGGAGGGGCCTGGCTCCTGTAGATAGATACTCTCCCTGGGAAGAGGGCCTTCAGGGCAGGGGCATGGTCCCCTCGGTCTTGTCTGTCTGGGGAAACTGGCCCACACAGGTCCAACAGCAATGCCATGTACCTCTGCACGGGGAGATTCGGCCAAACACTGGCCCAAATAGCTCTGTCTCTACTTCCTCCCACAGACTCTGCCCAGTGCTGACTCCCCTCTCCCTCCTCCCACAGACACTGCCCAGTGCTGACTCCCCTCTCCTTCCTCCCACAGACACTGCCCAGCGCTGACTCCCCTCTCCCTCCTCCCACAGACACTGCCCAGTGCTGACTCCCCCTCACCCTCCTCCCACAGACACTGCCCAGTGCTGACCCCCCCTCTCCCTCCTCCCACAGACACTGCCCAGTGCTGACTCCCCTCTCCCTCCTCCCACAGACACTGCCCAGTGCTGACTCCCCCTCCCCCTCCTCCCATAGACACTGCCCCAGTGCTGACTCCCCCTCTCCCTCCTCCCACAGACACTGCCCAGTGCTGACTCCCCCTCTCCCTCCTCCCACAGACACTGCCCAGTGCTGACTCCCCTCTCCCTCCTCCCACAGACACTGCCCCAGTGCTGGCGTCACCTCCATCTCCTCCCGGAGGTTGGAAGCTCCTTGAGCCTGTAAAGCTGACAGTGTTCCTTGGTTCTCTGATCTAATTCTGTTTAGCCTCTCAGCCTCATCCTGGTCCTGCCCCCAGCCTAGACTTGCTTAGCAGGCCACCCTCAGCCCTTCCTCAGACCTCCAGCCATGCAGGAAAAGGGGATCCTGGTAAAGAAAGATTTTAGGAAACAGGCCACCAAACTTCTGGCAGAGTTCTAAGATGCACCTACTCCTTCTGCTCCCCAGGCCAATCTTTCCTCTTTTCCCAGGGAAGGCAGGAGTGGCAGACATCCTGAACATTAGGCCGCATGGGTCCTGGATCTGGGTGGAGCCCACAATAGCAGCCCAACCCTAGCCCCCCTTTCTTAGTCAGGTCTCCCTGATCTTCCAGGCTGTCTCCTTGGAGTTGGGTGGGAGGTGGTTGGCATTGATGTTCACATGGGAGGTGCTAGGAGTCACTATCACCTGTTCATTGTGTTTGTGTCCAGTGGCTCCAGAGGATTGAAGAGACAGAGTCAGCGCTCCAGCGGAAAATGGTAGACCTGGAGAGCGAGAAGGTCAGTGGAATCTCCCGGAGTGACCCTGAAACTGATGTCACCAGCTCTGAATGTCTGAGGCCAAGGCCTGGCCCTCTGTGTTTCAGGAGCTGTTCAGTAAGCAGAAAGGCTACCTGGATGAGGAGCTGGACTACAGGAAGCAGGCGTTGGACCAAGCCCACAAGGTGAGCGAGTGGAGGGGCAGACATGTGCCTGCTGATCCACCCAGTGAACATCTGAAAGGCCTGTGTGGCCAGGCTCAAAACTTTAGGAGGCATCAAGACTCAGTGTGGGGTCACTCTTTGCCTTTCTCAGTCTGAGTTCTGAGGACTTCAGCAAATACTTCAAGAGCGCAAGCACATAAGGAATCACATGGATACAGGCGTGTGGGCACATTGAGAACTAATATAGATACATTCATTTAGTTGATATGTCAATTAATGAGCACATAGTGCATTTAGGAATTAACTGGAGACAAATGAGTGTTCATAGGGAAACATCGTTCTACTAGATACTCCCCTTTTGTTCATCTGAAACTTGAAGAAATGCAAGTTTGGCCTGCTCTGTGTATCTGGTCATCCTTTGAGGACTCAGAACCTAAAGGGAATATCCCTATTTAAGGATAACATTGAAAGAGATGCTTCATGGTTACCTATATTACTCTGTATTCTATTGCTATAACAAAAATACTGGAGACCACATAATATATAAAGAAGACAGGTCTATTTAGCTTACTGTTCTGGAGGCTGAAAGTCCAAAACTGGGCAACCACATCTGCTGGGCTCTGGTAAGGAATCTGCCTATATCCCAACATGGCATTGTGGTGGGGGTATGTGGAAGGGAGAGATCACAGCATGGCAGGCAGCCCGAGGGATTTGGAGGCCAGGATAGCCCCTTCTACAGCAGGCCGAGGGATTTGGAGGCCAGGATAGCCCCTTTTATAGCAACCCATGTCTGAAGCCCTGAGAAGCATGCTGATTCCTTCTAAGGACAGTCCCCTGGTGACTAAATGGTCTCCACAGGCTCTTGAAGGTTCCACCACCTTAGCGCCATTATGCTAGGAGCCCCACCTCAAGCACACAAACCCCCGAGAGACATACTCAAGCCATTTCCAGAGCAGGCGGCACTTGTGTCTCCTCTGATAAGCCAGTCCTTGCTGGCATCGGCTTGGGAGCCTAAGGAGTTCCACTGGGACATTTGCCAACCTTTCTGTTCCAAGGACACTGAACCCAATCAAGTGTTGAATCACAGCTGGTATAACAGGGACACTTAGTGGCCAGCTGCAGAGACCTCCTCGGGGAACCAAAGGCCACACCTGTCCTTTCACTGGGATTAGTTACACTTGTACAAGATTGCTAACTCGTGGGCAGTGTCTTGTCCAATTGAGTATCCTTAAAGGCACAGAGAGGCTATGGCGGTAAGTCAGGAAGAGCACCTAGTGGTCTAATGTGTGGCTGAGGGCAGGTGTGGAAGCTGGAACATGGCAGAATGATCCTATGGTGATCTTGAGTGAGCAACAATCTATAGGTTTTTGGGGTTATTCCCACATCATCTGCTTCTTCAGGCTGTATGTCAGATGGTAGTAACATCTACTCTGGGGCCATTGCTAGTTCAAGACACGGTCTACAGACTATAGACTAACTAAAGGCATGGAAAGTCCCTCCAGTGAATGACATAGGCTCGTCCCTCAGTTTATCCTGGACTATAAACAAAGTCCATATTAAAGTTCTCACCAGCAGGAGTGTGTGAAACTTCTGCAATGTGTACTCTAAACCACACATAACCACGCTTATTTTAGTTTTTTTTTTTTTTTTGTTTTTTTTTTTTT